TAAACCAGCAACTATAGAGCCTCTAGTACTGGAGAATAACAAGACTTATCTTACATAACAATGATGATTGATAAGAAATGTCACCATTCAAAAACAATTATACTCAGATCCCAACATAATTGAGGTTCAGAATGTATGCGCGGAGCACCAGCCCGAACATAATAAATTCATAGTGGGAGAGCATTCACCAAATTCAACGTCAATGACAAAACAAAGTGGGACCAAGTTAACCAAGTCTAACGATATAAGCCTGGGAAGATATTACTACGCCTCACGACCTCAATGCGTATGCCTAGAAAGATTTAATTTGGTCGGCACTCGATGTATGCACAAGGCTTAGTCCTCTTAGAAATGGAGCCAGGAGTAGATGTAAAATAGAAAGAGGTACAGGCGCTCCTTTACAGGCGCGGGAAAGCATAACAGAGCGGCCTACTAAAGAGGTCAATCTATCTTAACTGGTCGGGCGACACTGGTACGAGAAATAGCAATAACATCAACAATTAAGCTAAAGGAATTTACAGGAGTCCAGGAATCGCAGGCAGAACTAACACGCATCCTTGACAATCCGCCCGAAACCAAAGGTTTTTCTTCTACTATGCCCAAATCAAAGTCGAGAACAACGACGCCAGTATTGGGCCCTTACTTAAACAAGAATGGGTCCTACACAGATGACAGCAAGGAAATGAGTGAGCTCTCAAGTCCCAATTTGACTCAGTTTTTAGGCTCACGTCCACTAACCGATCTGCGAGTCTTAAGATCAAAATGAAATTTTTTTATGAGAGAGCCACAGAATTGGTTACCACAAAATATCTGATGCTATCTGAGCCAAATGACTTCTCAACAGCGATAAAAGACGACCCCCAATGCCCCATGCACTCTTGCCCAGGACCCAGACTCATGGAACTCCGTGTTCATCAAGAACTGCAAGAAGCCCATATTTCACTCAGCGCCAATACCATCTTTGGAGAGGGAGCATGGGACACAGGGCGTCGTCCACCATCAGTTACTAAAACAACAGACAAGCTCCACACTCCACAAAGGGGGCAGTAACGCAACAGCAAAGAACTACAGACGATTGCATAACTCTCATCTCATAAAACATCTTTGAACGCGGTCCTAAGAAGCAGATTCACACCCATCTAGGGGAAAACCTCACATCATTACACAACCAGGCCAACAATGCGTTTTGATAAACAGGTTGTTCGTCTGTCTCAATATTGGATCACTACGACCAAGGTCCTTTGATGCACTAGAAGACAGAAAAGAATGCAGTTGTAATATATGATACAGATTTGCAACAGCACTCTTCGAACGTGTGCCATGGCGTAATAGCCGACAAAAATGCGTGCTAAAGAATAACAGGAAAAGGCGGTCAGATGGATCTATAAGTTTTCTCACTAACAGAACATAGAGATTATTTAGTCAACAGAGTAAAGTCGAGGCAGCACGGTGATAATGCTTGTTCCACAAGGCACAGTACTGCTCCCATATTGTTCTCATCTTTCTTTTTTCCTCCATTTATCTGACATAGGAGACATGGATGTCAGCCACAGCCACGTGTCTTCTTTTGAGATGACACCGACATCTGCATGACGTGTCTCCATTGCCAGACTTAACTGCAAGGCTCCAGGCGGACAGAACAATTTTCACAGTGGGCTGAGACCCCCAATATGAAGTTCAACCGATGAGAATTATCAATTAATCAGATATGGTAAAAACACGAGGAAATTCTAATCTTTCAAAGAGTACAAACCAAATTCTGCCACAAATAGAGGCGTGACACCCAACGTCAAAGACCTCGGGATAATTGATTTGTCAGAGGACCTCACCTATACAGGGCCTTAACATGGTATCAATCGCATCTGCTAGAACAATGACCGGCTATGGCTATTGAGGAACCTTCAAAACTAGGGATGCAAGCCCAGGCTGGACAATCTCAGGTCACTTGTTCTATCTAGGCTGGATTATTGCTGCTCCTAAAGACCTTTCAAGGCAGAGGGTGAAATTGCTGAATAGAAACTGTAGAGAACCTTCACGGCCCGCATAACGGAGATAAAACACTCTCAATTACTGGGAGGCTTGCGGTTCCTGAACTGTATTCCCTGGAATGCAGGCGGGGAGAGATAATGATAATATCACCTGGCAAATATTGTAATAAGAAAAAGTTTTGGTGTGAGATTAACAAGTTAAGAAGCCTAGAGAACAAATGGATTGTTCGTTAAAAATAGGAGGGAGAGTTATTAATGGAGAGTTCAGTTAGAAGGTATTGGGAAGATGGAGGGAGACTCTTTGAGGTAATTGCTAATTGTTGATGAGATAGGAAGCTGAGATTTCAGTGTATAGGGAAGGAGGAACCACATCTGTGTAGGTGTGAGGAAAGAGCAGTTGTGAGTGTGGGGGAAGGCTAGTGAGGGCTGTAGGTTAAAATGAACGGGGGTTAAGGCAGCCGGGATTGATGGGATAGAATAGGAAATGTTAAAAGCATGAGTGGGGATATAGTTTTGCGAGTGGTTGCGTGCACTTATTTAATAAAGTATGGAGAGGGTAATCCCGCGTACTACGGGATTGGCAGAGAGCATGCATTGTTCCTTTGTATAAAGGCAAAGGGATAAAAGGAGAGTGCACTAAATATAGGGGGATAAGTTTCGTTGCGTATACCTTGCACCGTGCTCTAGGTAGAGTTATTATTGAAAGAAATTAAGGAGTAAGACGGAAGGAATAGGTGGCAGATTGAACAGGGAGGCTATTTGAAAAGGTCAGGGGGTGTGTCGGACCAGGTGTATACAGTGTAACATATAAGTGACCATTTTATTTAGATAAGACTAAAGAGGTCATTGTGGCATTTATGGATTTGGGAAAACGGCGTACTTTATGACAGGGTTGGATAGGGGGGCAATGTGGCAGATGTTGGCAGGTGTATGTGTGTAGGAGGTAGGTTTCTGAAAGCAGTGGAAGAGTTTTTACGAGGATAGTGAGGCTCAAGTTAGAGTCTGTCGGAAAGAGGGACATTATTTCCAGTTACAAGTAGGCTTAGACATGGATGTGTGATGTCACGTGGTTGTTTAATATATTTATAGATGGGGTTGTAAGAGATGTCAATGCGCGAGGGTCTTGGCATGAGGCGTGGAGTTAAAAGAAAAGAATCACCATAAAGTGGGAGTGGTCACTGTTGCTCTTTGCTGATGACCTGTGCTCTTGGGAGATTCTGAAGAGGGATGCAGAGATTGGTGGATGAATTTGGTAGGGTGTGCCATCAAGAAGAAAATTGATAAAAGAGAATACAGGAAAGAGTTTAAAGTTTGGGATAACCCACAAAAGATTAGGTGATGAAAGTTGGATATCAGATTGGAGGGAGAGATCTTAGGAGGTGGTGAAATGTATTCAGATATTTTGGAGTGGAAGTGTCAGCGGTTGGGTCTATGAAAGATGAGGTGACTGAATCATAGAATGATGTGGGGAAAAGGGTGAGTGTGCACTTAGGTTAGACTGTGGAGGACAAAGAACTTTGTCCTTGGTAGGGCAAAGAGGGGAATGTATGAGAGTTATAGTTGTTCCAAAAGGTCGTCTTTATTATGGGTGTCAAGCATGAGTGTGATGAATGCTGCAGCGAGGAGCAGGCTGGATGGCCGTGGAGATGTCATGTCTGAGGCAATGTGTGGTGTGAATATAATGCAGAGAATTCGTAGTTTGGGAAGTTAAGTGAGTAGGTGCGGGATTCCCAAAACTGTTGGTTCAGAGGGCTGAGGAAGGGTATGTTGAGGTTGTGTTCGGACATGTGGAGAGACTGGAGCTGAAACTGAATAACATCAAGAGTGTTTCAGTGTGTGTGGAAGAGAAGGGGGGTAGGGGTTCGGCAGGAAAGGTGGAGGGATGGGGGGTAATGGAGTAGGTTTTGTTGTGCGAGGGGTTGGACTTCCAGCAAGGGCATGCGTAGCTTGGATGTTTGATAGGAGTGAATGGAGAACAAATGGTTTATATAACTTTGAATTGTGCTGTTGGAGCCGAGTGTGAGCAAAGTAACATTTATGCAGGGGAATAGTGCGCAGGGAACCGGCAGGCCGGACTTGAGTCCTGGAGATGGGAAGTAAGTGCTGCATCTGAAGGAGGTGGTGTTAATGTGCGTTTAAAAACTGTTCGTGTAAAGCCCCTTCTGTCAAGACCCGTGATGGAGTGAATGAGGTGATAAGTTTTTCTTTTTGGGCCCCCTGCCTTGGGTGGGAATCGGCCAGGTGATAATAAAAAAAAAATATAACACCTGGAAAAATCTAGTGGGATCAGTACCGAACTTGCACGACGACATCACTCACTACGAAGTCAAACGGATGGCACGACGATGGCAACATCCCCCCAATGAAAAGCCAGGGGTGTCAGATAGGCATGTTAAGAGACCATACAGAAGAAGTGTTAGGGGCCCGAGACTGTTCAACTGCCTCCAGCCATACGGAAGGGGGATTACCCAACAGACCATGGCAGTCTTCAAGCTGGCTAGCGGACATGCATCCCCAAAGTTGTTTCATGATCAGCCGGGCTGTGGCTCGTTCGATGGTTTGCAGTGCAGCCAGCCCGTAACCAGCATGGTTGATCGGCCTCTGATCCACCAGGAAGGCAGGAACAGACCGCGGACGCAGGGGAGTTTGAGACCTCGGAAACACTCTCTCTCAGGTAAACTACCTTCACCCACTCGACACTCCACTGACTCCTGCCAAACTATATATACTCGTTTCTTAGTTATTTACTGCACTAGGACTGAGAAGTCACTGTGGCGAAACGTTTTCTTTAAAAATGTCTGCAACTCGTACTACACGTGTCTTTTTCCCCATCTTGTCGGTATCGCCATACCATTTCTTCATACAATATGCAGTATATGGCATCTCATAAGATTCAGTAACTACAAATTGTGTTCATTATGCACTCTTTCGTTTACATGTGGTTATATGTTTGGTTGGTCGTTGTGTGGCAGCACAGACCTCATTACAAGGTCCACTGTCTCATGGACCTCATGTGTGTGTTTCTTGGATGTGGGAGGGACAGGATCGAGGATTTAGTATCGCAGGCAGCACAAAGTTCACCAGCCTCCATCTGTCTGACTTTCAGCTTATTATGAGGCTCTTATTTTTTAAGTTCTTTTTTTTAAGTTCAGCTCAGATATGACCCTGATAAGGCACGGAACAATATCATCACTATTTATGCATTTATGTGCATAAAAGCATCGTCATTCTGACAAATGGTTCTTATTAGTCAACTTTTCATACTGAAAACAAACCCCTAATGATGTTCGTCTAAAACTGAAACAATAATAACCTCCAGGGAAGCTGCCAAGGCCCAATGCAATATTTCTGATGTAAGATTATCCTGTCTACAAAAAAAATTCGGCTAGTCCAGAACTCACAGCTTGTGAAAACACACTTAGTTTTGCGCCAATAAATCACATTAAAAATAACTATATAGAGATGAAGGTTAACATTACATTATAAGTGCGAGTGTGCACAAGCAACCATTCACAATAAACTCTATTTGCAGCTTATAGATTAGCTTTAGTTTCTATGGCTCAAGCATTGGAGTAATGGGAGAGCTACAGCCATCACCCCCAACATTCGTAGCTCGTCCTTACACTTCAGTTTATAGGAGCCAGGGTGTTTTTTGGAGACATTTTATGGAGCAGAAAACACCTGCGTCTAATAAGCCGGCATAAACTATAGTAATTGACAATATTTATCATTCTCCCTGATGGGGAAGTAAGGAGAAGAATCTTCTCTGTCTAGCCATGTGTCGTAAGAGGGTGACTAACATGCGGGAGAAGGGACTTGTAACCCCTTCTCCAGTATAAACTATTAATGTACAACAGAAAGAAAGATTTTCTTTCTTCTTTGGTGGGTCACCTAGCTTAGTGAGAGACAGCCAGTGTTAAAAAAAATATTTACTTGCTTTTTTTTTTTACTCCGTGGTGTTTCCACCAAGGCAGGGTGACCAAAAAGAAAGAAAAACCGCAAAGCAAGAATAAACTTTCATCATTCAACACTTTCTCCGTTCATCATGCCAGATTAATGTCTTTGCAGAAACGCGTCAGTATGACAGTTCTGATGTCCCTCCAAATTGCTATATCTCAAACCCTCTCCTTTACAGTGGATGCATTGTACTTTGTTTTCTTTTGATTTTTTTAAAAGTCGGCTGCTCTCCCACCGAGGGGGTGACCAAGAAAAGTACAGAAAATCCCCAAAAAAGAACTATACTTTTCATCTATTAACACTTTCACCAACATCAACATTTATCACTGTTTTGCAGAGGTGCTTCAGAATACACAGTTTAGAAGTATATACATATAAAGATACACAAAATATCCTGAGGGATTGCACAGCACTTGGAAAATGAAATTTAATCTCGGCTTGGTTCTGAGGAAGGGCAGGTAGCTCCCAACTTTCAGATGAAGAACTTTCATAGCTCTATAGCACCCTCTTTGAAGGGTGTTTGTGACAAAATTTCAATACAATATATTTTTCCTTTTCAATATTTATGAAACATACTCGTTATGCATCCAATTATTAAATAACAATTATATATTGCCTTCCCACTATAATCATTATTAATTTATATATTTAGAGGAAAAAAAATCACGAACCGTTAGTTTTTGCAGTACAAAATTTAAACAGAACCACTCCTTTTCTCTTATCAATGCATATTGTAAGTTATGTCTTGTTCATCTTTAATGGGCTTCAAATTTGTAAGCGTGCAGCATTCTCATCCCATGAAGCACTTACTCCACCTGTACAAAGCATAGTCTTGGTGACGCTTTTCTGACACACTCAGGGCGGATTTAGAGTCTCTGGGCTAGGCTATTCAGGAATGGCGGGGCCCCTTTGGGTAGGGTAAGCGAAGCGCCCCCTTCCAGCTTGGGGGTGGGGGGGGGGGGCGGGGTCGGTGTGGCCTGTTTCCTCTAATTAAAACCTTCTGGCTTATGTAGATTAAATTTAATAGGGAAAAAGTCATCAGACAAGCCAAAAACTTTTTACAACAGATTATAACTTATTGTTCATATCGCATTTTAAAAGAAAAACTCCAGACAGATAGTTTCTAGGATTAGGCTTCTTAAAGTAGTGACATCATGTACTATTGATATTCAGCCATAACCATCAGCACTATTATTCCTTTATAAATCCTGACATTATTAGTTATCATTGCTTCATGCATAGGACTATCAAATCATAATTAATCAAGAAAGTAAAGAATTGTTTATATTTCACAGGCTCACTTTTAAATACTTTTTTTGGATTTCATCTTGCTAAAATCATCAATTATATCTGAAAATCAATATTTCTTGTTAGATCAGACACAGTGGTCAACAAGGCTAGGTTGTCACATTTGTCTTGGCTCATGTTGAAGGAGCTGGTTTTTCACTCTTTTCAAAAACCAGAAAATATTAGTTACTCAGTGAGACAAGATGATTCCAGTGTAGCACAAATAAGTATTAGCCTGTCTAAAGTATCTAGCCTGGGGAGGTTGTGAATTATTCCTGTAAGGGAAGATAACATTTCAGTGACCTCCAGTTAGCTTCAAGGGACTCCAGGTCTGGTACACAAGCTCTTGCCATGTTCTTCATTATATTTACGGCATCCCCCTAAAAACATACAGAACAAGAACAGTATTTGTCTAGGCTATACCTGAGAGTTCCAGGGGGAAGTGGCGAAGATTCTTTCTCCATAAACCATACATGTTTTAAGAGGCCAAATAAAATGTGGGTAGCAAGGGGCTAGTAACTTTCTCATGTATGAATTATACATGTAAAAAGAGAAAACTTTCATTTCTTCTTTTTGGCGGAGTCACCCTACTCAGTGGGTATGGTCAGTGTTGTTAAAAAAACATACCCAAGAACAGTTTTGCAAGATTTACCTATTCACTCGTCTGGGGCTAGCAAACTTGGTGGCCATTGTTAATCCTTTGACCCACTTACTTCTGATTTTACAATGCCTTGCTTTGACCACAAACATATTGATAATTTCTAGTGATACACGGTCACCTAGTAATTTCCAAATATATTTGATACTGCAAGCAGGGCAATGCCAAAGGGAGGGACAAGTGGGAGGGTAAAGGGACAGAAAAGGGGAGGCGAAGCTGTTCAAAAACTCCCCCCACCCCATTAATTAACGCCTCCGAATAGAATTCTTCCTCTGTAACAAAAAACATTGTAAAGAAAGAGAACATGTGAGGAAAACTAATTTCCCCTTTTGTCCTATTTTTTTTATATCTCGAATCAGCCGTTTCCATTACGGAGGTGACCCCAAAATAGACGCATGCTTTCCTATCCTTATCCTCTAAACTGCTTTGTAGAAGCATGCCTTCACTACGTTCACAAACCGGCAACATAGCTCCACCCTCCTGCTTGGGAGCCTACAACCGTGTACTTTCCACTCAGGATTCAAATCGGTTAACTGGTTGCGACGCTATCCTGATGGTAATTATAAAACATTCCGATTATATTACTCCCAAACTTACTCTGGGAAAAAGGAAACTGAGAACACAGTGCCCAACTGTGGACGATGTTACACCAAAGCAGTCCATGGGTTAACTCTTGAGGAAACAACAGAGAGTACTTCTTGTAATTATGATTGTTCTTGCTACATGCTTTCTGAACGTAAAGATAAAATATACTGCTGTACTCTCCTGGCGAATGACAATGCAGTAATCTGCATTAATTATAAAACAAAATAAACTCTTGACTATAAGTAGCAGCTTCTTATACCATATTTGTACATAGTATTTTATTGTAACACCATTGCCGGAATGTAACAAAGAGCAAAATAAGAAAAAAAATTTTTTCTTAATTCTCATTAATGCAACTTGAATCATTCACTCTATAACAAATATCAGAAAGGGATTGGAAGGAAGGGGATATTCACTTGGCATTCAATCCAATTAAGGGGACGGCTAAGTGCAGTTTCTTGATTAAGAGCCTCAAGGGTGACCCACTTTTGGCTCACCAACGAACAAAATATGTACACTGATATCATACAATATTTAGCTGGACAAGCAATGGTTTGTATCTGTTACAGAGATGTGTAAATACCTCTAGATAAGTGTCAGGGGCCCCAAGATGTTCAACTGCCCCCTCCCCAGCATACATAAGGTGGGATTACCAATACACCCCTGGCTGTCTTCACAGAGGGAGCTGGGGACCGGTCCTAGAAGGCAGTACTAACAGCCAGCTGAGGTTCATACGTCACTTTTACGTAAGGCCAGCCCATAAACAGCTGGTTGATCAGACCCTGAACCATCACGAGGCCTGGTCATGGACCGGGCCTGGGAGCGGTTGACTCCCAGAACTTCCCTCCAGGCTATCCTTAGATACTTAGAGCACGGGCTAGTAACCCCTTTGTATATATTACTAAATGTAAAAGGAGAAACTTTTGTTTTTCCTTTTGGCGCACGCCACCTCGGTGGGATCCGGTTGGTGTGTTGAAAGAAGAAAGAATTTACTCCACATATGGATGTCTTTCACTAATGCCCTGGGAATCACAAAACTGAAAGGATACATCCAAACTGAAAACATCTTCACTCATTGCACAGTACTCTCCAGAACTCTTTAATCTACCCACAGAATGGAAATTTTCTTTTTACATGGACTACCTAAAAGGGAAGTAAAACTATGTGAAAGCTAAGACTCAGGATACCAAAATATAAAAGTACTCATTTACTTATAGCAGTTTGTTTTATAAAGGCTTACTGTGCATCTCGATTTGAATAAAGTATTTCATTCTTGTTGGAGTCGCTATTGGCTGGGATTTCTGGGAAGATGTTAATCATGATCAATGTTGTCATTCATTACCCACGGGAAGTGTGGTCACCAACCTCTTGCAGTCCATGAGTTCTTGTAAGGATTCCTGTAGTAGCTTACAGACTCCAAATCATGATACATATGATGTCTCCTTCTTGTGTTATGTTCCTGAATAACAACTTATTGGGAGGGCATTTTAATATAGTCAAAATCAACATAGATTGATTAAATTAGATAAAATTCTTTATTTCAACATGATACAATATTTGTAAAGAGGTGAATGACATTTTAGGTGTTGCATGCAGGCAAAGTC